CTGCTTGAACCCCTGCCACTCGCTACACATGGCGCTGCTGTCATTTTATCAGCTCTTGTGTGCATGAAATGACCGTCTCACCGCCTCAGCACAGCTTTGGCGAATAGAGAATTATTTTTAATAGTGTATTGTGTTCTAACAGAAAATAACAATGATCAGCAAGACTGATTTCTTGATTTTTTTTTCCCACAATAGCTGTTTGATTATACACAGGGGAGTTGTTTTACATTAACTTAATATGAACTACTTTGTCTGGGAGGATATAGGATATGCTTTGGGAGAATTATCCCCACGCCCTCTGTACAGCTGTTGGTACTGCTTTAATGATGCCAGTGAAAACTATCAGTAATATCACTTTATAGGTGTTAGACTGATGATAATGCATGTGCAGATGAGACAATTCCCTGATATGATTTGGCAGGTCAGTGTAGAGGTGGTCAATGTCCTTCCCTCTTTGGCAGTCAGCCCTACATTGATATAACTTGATAAAACTCACAAGTCTCCATGAACCTGTAGGCTACTTGTAGCCTATGCTAACCACTTTGTGGTGATAGAATGTGTAAAAGCATATACAAGCGACTTTATAAAAACTAAAGGTTTCAAATTTAGACACATTTTTTTTACTAAATGATACCTGTTCAGAGATCAAGATATTTTCATTACTGTTCAAGCAGTCTGTGAGTAATGGCAGGTTACTTTGTGTCCATACAAAAGTATCCCAACTGACCCCGCTCTCCTCTACATTTGGCTACCTCTAAACTTGATCATCATATCCACATTTTGGTGCTGTTGGCAAATAACTATTAAATAAACTTGATTGAAGGAATTGTTTTTTGTTTGTTGTAAGCCCACACTTATAACAGTACCTCTGTATTCCTCTTGTATTTCTGTATTATGCTAATTCTGTCAAGCACAGGCTGTTCATAGACATTAGCTCTGTGATGTATGCTGAGCACTGCAAATGTCACGCCAAGCTGTTCCACTTCTCAGCTCTAAAAAACCATGAAGGCAGGAGGTCAGTTGACTCAGGGCAGATCGAATGCAGATGGTATGTTCCATGGCCAGAAATTGATATTAAACTGTGCTTAATGCCAGTTACAGACACCAGTGCTGTATCCCACATTATATGTTGCCAGTTTATTGGGCACATGTAGCTAAAAATCATACAACAGCCCTGCAATAAATCCTACCTTCATGACGATCATAATGTTTAGTTTAATGTTCAGTCAACTTTCATTGTAACCCAATCCCAGCAAAAATGTTGGTATTATATGTTTCTGAAAACCAGGGATACGCTACATTTGTATGTTATTAGTGAATACATAGAAACTGTACGTTTCAACATGCTGTGGTTAACATGTGGTTAGGTTGAAGCACAAAAAACACTGGTTAAGGTTAGGAAAAGATCACATTTTGGCTGATAATATCCAATTTTGGGGGCATAATTCCAACTGAAAAAACAGCAATGTCTTGGTAAGAAACAACCAATTTTCAGGGCTATCCTCGCTGGAAAACAGCAACGAGTCGTGAAGAAACACCCAATGACTTGCTTAATCACAGATGGACCTGTTGTTTTTAGGCCTCGAGTGGTCTACACCTTTAGATGACAAGGTCAGCTCATATACTATGTCACTTTAGAACCATATGAAACATGCAAATGTAACATATTTGTAGTTTGCAGAAACGTACAATGGCAACATTTTCCTCATGGTGACTGGGCTGTTAATTTAGGAAGCTGATGCAGTTGAATTGTATTTTTTATATTAAAGTGTTTCTAATATGTCACAGTGAGAAACACTTCTCTGTATCACACAACACACACTGATAATTAGACTAACCCTTGAATGGTCCAACAGAGAGGCAAAACAATGGAAATGTAATTATGTTTTGCATTTTTGTAAAAACACTTTTTGTTTTGTATTACACAACACAATGACAAAACATTTTGCATATAACATAAATAAGAAACATGTTTTAAAGATAAATACCTAACTTAAAAACTATTAGTGAGCCATGCATTTTTTTTTCTTTATTTTTTTGTTGTAGTAGTATTCTACATACTTTTGCTGACTTGCACAATTCTGTTTAGAAACTCTTCTGAAACTACACTAATTAAAAAAAGAATATGATTGCCTATGAAAACTCTTACCATGCCACATGCTGAGGGATTCTTTTCTCTGCCACTAACTGGAAAGACACTACTTGAAAAAGAAACTCCCCTGTTTTCTTTTAATCCTAACATACTCTAGCCCAGTACTAGAGATGAGCTTACATTTTTTTCAACAAATATCACAACTCAGCTATGCTATACAGAAGACCATTAAAGGAATTAAAACTGGGAGCCAATTGCATTTTAAAATGATAGGATAATAGAGGAGCGAGTAAATGAGGCTGACAACCAGTCTGAATCTTTCCGATTGAACTTTTGCCAAGTGTAATCCTCATCCTATTAGGCAGTTATGTTAGCACTTCCTTTAGGTGAGATTCAGTGGAGACTTCTGTCAGGCTGCGTTCAACACAGAGGGGTTAAATAGGTAAAGGCCATCGTGTTTCACAGCGGGGAGCTCCATGAGCTGCCAGATGTATTTGTCATGTCATATCGTGCGTTGCCAGGTATTTTCCTCCTGTCTCTAACTTTCCCATTCCACCACTACCTAATCAGCTTTAATTGACTTTAATTAGCATCTAGTAATTAATTTTGTTTTCTACAAATTATTTGTATGAATGGTCCCAGTGGGTGGCCTGTTCATCTCGTTAGGGCCAATTAGCTGCAATTAACAAACACTAATGACATGCTTTTTTCAATCCAAAACAAACAGTGTGCACCCTGCCAGATTCCAGTGCTGCACAGAGACCTCTTGTGTGTTGGAGTGGTGCATGGGGCCAGCTCACCGGGCTAGGCTTCTAATCAACACCTCTAATGGAGAAACACAAACCCAGAAGGAGACACTTATCCACACGACTCACACTTAGGATACCACCGAGATAATTACTGTCCCCTCTGGTCTGTTCATTGTCACCCACTGTTACATTTAAGCAGCTAAGATCAGGTTTGTGGAACAAAACAGATGTGGGAGAGGTCCTCAGCATTTATTCTAATTAGTATTAGTAGTCTGGGTCCATGCTCAGAGCATCACGGTTATTGCTGGACCTCTATATGTGATATTAACTTATAGAAAGGGCAGATGCATGTCAAGATGTCGTCTTCCATTTACACAATAATAACAATAAACATGACTTCAAGCAAAATATGAGGAAATGAGAATATTCCATTTGACAGAGGTGTTCATATTCTTGATTCTTTGATTTTTCTTTTTAGCAAAGGATGTCTGAATTTTATACAACGAAGTAGTACTACGTCTCAGCCATACTTTTCTCAAATCTGACAACACATGGCAAATCTCCAGACAGGTGCTGTAACATGACACATTCTGCTGTGGGAATTTTCCTGGCAGGGATTTGTGCACCTCCATTGTTTATTTAATATATAAACAAGAGCTTATATAAAGTGATGCATTCAACACAGCTTGGTGTGAATGAATAAAATCATGTTTAACAATTTTGAGTGACAGCAGAACATTTTCATCTTAATTTTGAGCAATTCTTTTTCTATCCGTGCTGTTTTATTAATTTAGGTCCTGTTAGGATTCAAGTTTGTCCAACAAAATAACTACTTGTGGTGCACTCTCAAAACAAATGTTTTAGGGTATGTGAGCCCACTGGTAATTATGGGTTTGCACAGTAATTTGTGTCCAAGAAAATCTGTTTGACTTGGGGTTATAAAAGGTGTGTATTTGTGTTTTTCACTGCACTGTGCTTAGTTCTGCAACTTCATCCAGTTGAAAAACACATACAGTCAATGTTGAATTTTCACAAAATGTTATAGGTTTAAAAAAAAAACTTATATAACATATTATTGTGTTTGTTTGATTTTGTCTAATTGCTGGAGTTAGATCCACAGTAGATGTTTCAAAAGCACAATTAAATATGACTAGAAATAGAAAGGAACACAAATGCAACCATCAACACCTTTGCACTATTTTCATCCCTTTTTAAATCCTAGAAATCTGCTGTCAAACAAAAACTAACTAGTTAATTGACTACAGCTGTAGTCAATGTGCCTATATGCCAGATGATTTTCTGATGTATATTTGCCTGTAAGAGCTCGTGATGTCGCCTGCCAATAACAAACAAACGAAAAAAATCTGGACAAAAAAATTTGCTCGAAGCAAGAATTTGCAACTCTCTCGCATTTAATTTGATAGTGTCGGGAGCTGAGATATCAGGGACCAACAGAGCTGGGAGCCTGTATGGGGAAACGCGCTATCTCCTTCCCCAGCGCACCAACACGGTGCGATAACATCTAGGAGAGACAGCCTATCGCCACAGATTATAACCATTAGTGATCCGTGTCCTTTCAAACCAAATGGAGTATAATGTTGGGGCACAACATTAATCCACGTGGAAAGCTTGTGTTCGGCATGTTCATCTGTCCTCTCCCCATACTGCAGGGATAGCCCTGCTGATACTTTGTCATCTGCCACTGATGCAGTCTTATTCTCCCACACAACCCAGGAAATAATTTATTCATATGATATCATCACTGACCCTCGGCAGGCTATCCTTGAGAGAGACACAGGCTGAGAGAAAAAAGAAAAGAGTTAGAGTTTTTTAAATTATTATTTCTTATTTCTATTCAAAAATATTGCTCTGTTTAAAAATTGAAAGGCTTAAAACTAGTTAGGGTCAATCCTAAATTAAGTTTTGGATCTTGGCACTACTTGACTTATTATTTTTATTTTATTTTATTTTAATTCATTTTATTTATTATTTTATTTTATTTTACAGCCATAGTATTCTACTTTTCTTTACATAATACTGAAGTGCATGAGTGAAATGAAAAGGCTGCTCATAGGTTTCTCCTGGACGTGACGTCACCGGTGTCTTAATAGGCAATAGGCTGAGCTTTAAAGAGGTGCGCTCATTACCGCGTTTCTCTCAGACCGAGAGCTCATCAGAGGAAAAATGGGACACAAATGACAAGGCTGAGCGCACTGACAGCATTTCAGCGTTATTTCCCTCTACTTTAGACACCACTCAGGATATATGGTGCAGTGGGTAGGCTATTTTTTCCTGCGCTTACCCGTAAACCCGCACACTTCGGATGATCTTGATGGGCCCGCGGTGATCTCCAGTCTGTAATTTTGCTCCAGAAATGCTGTTTCTTCAACAGTTACCCTGTCGTCTGGAGCTGTTGGCCACATGTGGATTGTTGCCCCGTGGAACAGATCAGCTACATTTAATCTCACGGATGGTGATGTAATTATTCCCATTAATTTGGATACATTGGATTTTCCGGGATCATATCCAAACACCGAGGTGACTGGGACGTTGGAGAAAGAAAACATACATATATATATATATATATATATATATATATCACACACACCCCACACACTGGGCTGGGAATAAGTCCAGACAATGCTTCAGTGTTCCAGCTGTGAAAAGCCTATTCTTGATAGGTTCCTGCTCAAAGTTTTGGACAGACCGTGGCACATAAAATGTGTCCAGTGCTGCGAATGCAAATGCACTTTGACAGAGAAGTGTTTTTCACGAGAGGGGAGACTGTATTGTAAGAATGACTTCTTTAGGTAAGCATCCAAAGTCTTTGTGTTTGATATAAATTTAGAAAAAAAGGAAGAATATAGCTGTTTATGTATTTTTTAAGCAAAATTTGTGCGTGGAATTAGACAAAACGAGAAAAATGCGCAAAATACAGATGCGAAATAAACGCTGATGGGGCCTGTATTTAAACTGCTCACCATGTTCTGCCAGGGTTCAATAAACTGTCTTTGTTTACAGTGTAGGAGCTGCTTTCTATTCGTGTAAATGTGCAGTTATATTATTTATTTATTTATATTTGGTTGTATTTTTAGAATAAGATATAAATTAGAAAATAGTAGAGAAACAAATAATTAAACAACCTGATATCATTTTTTATCTGCAATAAGCTATTGAAATATAGCAAACTACAAACAGGCCTAATCCTAATTGCACATGTGATTGCTATGATGTTGCACTCATAATGGGATTATATTACAATTTTTCTTTATTATATTTTTCTATGCATTTCACTTAAGGTTGGACTATAGCTACATATCCTTATGGACATTATTTCGATATAAATAAAATATAAGTATCCAACTATTGGACTATTATCCTGTGGTAGAATCAAAGTCAGTGCTGTGCACCCAAGTCTAAAAACATCTCAGGCATTGCTGTTAATAAATCTGGACTGTAACTTTTCCCTGACTGTTGCTCTCCCTCATCAACAGGACATTTGGGACCAAGTGTGACGGTTGCGCCCAGGGGATTTTACCCAGTGATCTTGTCCGCAGGGCCAAGAGCAAAGTGTTTCACCTGAACTGTTTCACCTGCGTGATGTGCAACAAACAGCTGTCCACAGGAGAGGAACTGTACATCCTGGACGAATTCAAGTTTGTTTGTAAGGAGGACTATCAAAACAACAATGGGAAAGACACAATCCTCCTTTCAGGTGGTTATACTGGGTGTTAATCGAGCCATTTTTGTTTTAAAAAGGAGATTGATTTTTAATCAAATTATTCATGAATAAATGGATTTTTATCATTATCAATATTTTTTATTATTATTTTAAGCAGCAGCATATTTTCAGTTCTAATTCTTTCAAAATATTTAATCCAGTCTAAACTGAAGTGTGTATTTAATTTATAGTGATACCGTCTACATGGAGTATTCAAAAATATTAATAATATATTTCTCCTGCTATATTAACAACTTGATTTTAAAATTCCACTCTTTTCCTGTGTTTTGCTGGTATGATTTTGATACTCAAATCCACGTACTAACAAACATCATATATTTTTTCTCGTGGCAGTCACGACGTGCAGCGACCCGAGTTTGTCTCCAGACTCCCAGGACCCGCAGGACGACGGGAAGGACTCAGAAACGGGACATTTATCCGATAAAGACAACAGCAACGAGAACGACGAGCAGAGCGCCGTCGGGAAACGACGCGGGCCTCGGACCACCATAAAAGCCAAGCAGCTGGAGACCCTGAAAGCTGCTTTCGCGGCCACGCCGAAACCCACGAGGCACATCAGGGAGCAGCTGTCACGAGAGACCGGCCTCACCATGAGAGTCATCCAGGTAAAAGGAAGAAAAGAGTTGATACTGTATTAAGAGGGTGTCTGCTGCACTGTTTCATCCATCTACATCCATTATCGGACACCTCAGTCCCATCCAAATCTGTGCGCAGCGTCCTGACAGGTTACACGGTGCCTCCAGGATCAACACGAGAGAATAAAGTCAGGAGTCTGGATTATATCAGAACGCCTCAAAAAGCTTTTTTGGACACCACATTTTGCAGACACCCTTAGGGAATTTGTCCTTAATGCTCTGCTGATTTTTTTCTCCAGATAGGGTTTCCAAACCATTTCCCATAATCTTTTCTCCCTTTGCGCTTCTAAAACCCTTAAAAGCAGGACTCACTTAGCACTGATGTCCATGGAATTTTTAAAAAGCTCCTTCGATTAAATTCCCTGGGAAATTTTGACATCAAAATGCATTAAAAGTAAATTATGTTTGTGTGGGCTAAATACTAAAAACTCATCAGTTTACATGCCCAACATTACGCATTTAAAAATTCTTATTACGACCTCCAAACAAACCTATTATTACCAGTGTGAACCGCTTTTCCTTTTTCATGGCAAGAAGTTCATGGTAATATTTTAATAATAAACTGTCAGTAATTGTGTAGGTCTTCTAAAATAGATCTTGATGCTATCGAAGTATTTAATTTTTGACGCAACAGGGAGGTTAGATATGTTGCTTTCACGGCCCTGCAAGGCATACGCACATGACGTCCTTTCCTTCAGTAGCCTGTCCTGCTTGTGTCATCTGCTCCGCTCATCTTGTCTATTTATTTCTCACTTCGTCCTAAAGGTTTGGTTCCAAAATCGGAGGTCCAAAGAGAGACGCATGAAGCAGCTGAGCGCTCTGAGCGGCCGGAGACACGTGTTCTTCCGCGGCCAGAGGAGGATGAGGGCGCTGGGAGAGAGACTGGAGGCAGAGGAGCTTGGACACTTCTCTTATTATGGAGGTGAGGTGCATGTTTTGGAGTGTAGGATTGATCATTTTCTTGATATTAAAAAAATCATAGTCATTTCATGAAAAGGTTTACCGCAATATCAATTAAACGTTCCTCTTTGGTTGACGTATTTATTATAATTAATTCAATTTATTTTGTGTTGAGTTTTGGGTCTGTTTATTTGGCTGAAAGGTTTAGAGAAAAATGCATTTAAAAAACAGTTTTTATCATTTATATTTTTTTCTTTAAATTCTGATATATTGACTAATCCAGATCTCTATGCCTGCAGATTATCCTGCTGAATACTACGGCTCAGGAGGGAATTATGAGTACTACCAAGGCCCACCATCATCCCAGGCTCAGACTCCAGCAGACTTGGGCTTTGTGCCCTCCTCTGTTCCTGCTGGCACCCCATTAGGAGCAATAGACCACCACCACCCAGGGCACCACTGTCCTGGAGAGGTGCACTGTTTCTCTGACACAGTATCTCACCATCCTGCGGACTCACCCAGTCCTGAGCCCACTATGCTGGGCTCAATGCACAGCATCTCCAGTGAGATGTGTGGCCCCAGCACACCCTACACGACTGTGTCTCTCAATGACAATGGATACACCAACCAGCTGTCACAACCCTCGTCAGAAATAAGCGAAGGCACTGTCTGGTGATCCAGTCGACTCCAAACCACAAGGCACACCTGGATATTTGAAGGCAAATCAATTGCTTTTCATTTGATGTTCATTTATTTAAATGCAATTTTATTTATTTATTTGTCTATTTATTTATTTGCTTGCATTTCTGTTAAGCTCTATTTAACTATTTATAAATCTCTATATTTGTATGTTGGTATAATTGTTTATTGACTAGCCAATCAATAGATTGTTTTCATGTGAATTTGACCCATTAACACACTCACAATGCTGGGCCTCATTGATCAAGCAATAAACAAACACATTTATATGCTGCAGAAAGTGTTTTTTTACAGTTTGCAAAACCTTTTCTGCCACATATCGAGCATTATTGTCCTTAAAATCATGTTAATGTGAAGGTGCATGACAGATTTTTTTTTTATATTACCTTTCACTGTTTCAGTGACAAACAGCACTCCATCCACGAGTTCATGTGTAATACGATATTTTATCATTTAAAAGCAGAATATGATTGTGATGTTCAATACATTGGACCAAATACCTCTCTCAGGACGGTGGAAACATTGTTTTTATTTGCCTTTATTTGTCAGCCATTTCCTTTTTAATTATTTTACTACCAACACATGTTTGCCTTCAGAGGGATATCTTTATAAATCTGAAAATTTTATATGTAACAGAATTTGACTTTAACATGACATGAATCCAGCGTTATATATAGAATAATGGACAGTACAGAAGAGTCAACTGTTTACCTAAAGCTCCAGTATTCAGGGGTTTGAATATCAGCATTGTATAAAATCGATGGACAGACCATTCAATGCAAACAAACCAAACTTTTGTAGCTGTTTATGTGGTCGCTCACTGTGCTAGTTTGTACTATGTCCTCATTAAAAACACAGAAACTACTAATAAACCGTTGCCAAATGAATGCACAGCAAAACCCTGCAGCTCCAGGTGTGACACAGACTTTTTTTTTTAAGTGTTCTCCTTTTCTAATTATCTGAGCATGTTCATAGTAAAAACAGTCATTTGCTGCTCAGTTAGTCGATCAGCCGAGACTCAGACTGGTTTTGTCTTAATGGATCAAAATGTCAAATTATTCACATTGATGGTCTCATACACTGCCAGCAGCAGCAATGTTTTTTATGAGACATACTTGATTGTTCCAATTAAGTTTATGAGACCGGTGTTTACGACCATTCACTGTATAATAAAACACATACTGATCTCTTTTATTTGGTAATCATTTTGGGGGGAAAATATTGTTCTTTCAAATAAGAGTGATTCTTGATTTTGTAAAGGTTTAATGAACAGAGATTTGTTACAGCAGGATTTTTTTAAACAGATTATAATGATTGCAACAGGGGATCCCTCAAGGAAATGCATTTCCAGACTTGACAGTATTGTAATATTCAGAATCATACTCAAATCTGATGTAATCAGTGGCAGTGCTTAGTTATCTAAATAGATATACCTATATACTTATGCTTGCTTATTTATAATAACATGACTATGCCATAGAAATTTATTTGTTTTTCTATAAACTGCACATTTGACATCATGCCCTGTATTTGTATATCCAGGCATATGTGAAGATTTCGACGGCCGCAGGGGACACATCCTGCTTAATATTTACATAGTTGCATTTTTGTGCATTTTCCCCCTCCAATAAAAACATGAAAGTAGCAGAGGCCTTTATTTCGGACTAAATTATAAATTAATTGATGCAGAAAAGGCACTGGTCGGGGCACAATAAAATCACCAGAATGCAGGAAATAAAGTGTTAAATGCTTAAAATGCTGAAACAAAACCTGTACCCTTCCAGGGCACTGTGAAGGGTAAAGGCACTGTCTGAGAGGCACACTGCAATATGGTGGAGCTTTGTCTACATGTCATTTTAATGACAGCTTTATCTTGTTGCATTAAATTGACTGCGATTGGTTGTCTCATAAAAGAAAGAGAATTTCTGCATCAAAAATGTATTTTGACGCTATTCTGGGTTGACTGGGTTAAACTCTTTATGAGCTGCTAAACACAATTAACATACAATATTACACATTTTCTAACTTGTGTTCAATTGCTGTAAAGTTGAGCATTTTCTATTGTTACAGATTGCTAAATGATAGCCCTTTGAAGAGGTTTGTAGGTTCTCTTATAAAAGCTCTTGCTGTGCTATCTGTCTGCTGCAGCACAGTCAACAAAACTGGAGCTGCTTGGTGTGGTGTTACTGACAGTGTTGGCTATTCCCGATGAAACCTCTAGCCAGCAATCAATGAACTTTCAAATCCAGGAGCAATCGGTCAGCATTCTTTTCAGATCACTTTGCAAAATGTTAGTGAACTGTTAAGTTTATAAAGTGCCTGTTTCTGTTGTAAGGGAAGAACACAGAAGTTTAAATGATTTTCGGACACAGCTTTCACAGTTTAAAGTTTATTTACCTGTGTTTTTCTTTCTAGATTTAATCAAATTAGTTCAAGGTAATGTTCCTCAAACATTAAGAGCAAACCAGAATCAGGCAATTCACACTTTAGACGTTTTAGCGGGAATTATCAATGCATATAATGTACAGTGAGGGTGTATATGTGTGCATGTGTGTGTCTACATTATGCAAACAAGCTTCTTGCTACATTTGGGAATTGTCTGTAGGCTCGACTGAAATGTTAACTCATACTTTGAGTCATCTTTGTTGGTAGTGTTTAAGAGACTGATGACAGACAGTCAGGGAAAGGTGAGAACAGCACAAAGGAGGACGAAACAAATGCTGAATATGGAGGCCAGTGAGCAGTGAAGCAGGAGGCTGAAGGAGCAGATCAGCAGAGTTGTTAGGGGGAAGGGAATGAGAGACAAGGGGAATGTTTTCAAAGATTCAGTTTGGGTTTGACATCTCTGGTCACAAAATCTAAACATGATGAAAGGAGGACAATGAGGATGGACCAAGAAGCTGATACCTCTCAGTGAAGCCAAAGCACACTTCCCTTTATGAACACCAGACAAACACAGGAGGTGAAATTAAAGGACAAACCTGACGATATTCTGTATCTTTGTTAGTGTCAACAGATCAAATGAAAGGATCAAAACCAACAAATTAATCCATCTTACACTTTCTGACTTCCCTAACTTGTCGGTGGCTCTCAGCCCCAAGCTCATCGTTCCTAATTAAGAATTTATCTTAATAAACTGGCCATTGTTTATAGTGATCAAGTGATTGATCCTGAAATTCATAGGTACTGTAATTTTTAGCAAATATGATTCAAACTGGAGTAAATGGTGCATTTGTTGGGGACTACTTTCAGTTGTACTAGTGAGCATTAGAACAGCAGGATACTGTTTGTGGGATCAATTCAAAATGAACTACAGTGTGTATGTACCTGGTCAACAGGAAAAATAAAGATATCATCAGAATAATCCTTTTCATAGTTAGACCCTAACTCTGGAAGTAAGATCACTTAATGATACATTTAGGCTTTCTGAAAAGATACGCAGATTTTGTGTGGCCAGCTGCTGATGGGAGGAAGCTTGAGGCACCACCTTTTTCATCAGCTGGTGGTTGTTACTCTACACTGTCTCATCCCACTCCTGGATTAGTGTCCGCACCACACAGCTTTATTTCACAGAGCATTTCTGCTTTACATCAGCCTTTCTCAAGAGTGAATTATTTGTACAATTCTGGTTATTTGTATTGGGGTATTCTGTTTATTTTCTTAGCTTTACTCTGTGTTATTTTACTGTAAAACATGGTTTAAGTCATACATACACACACACACACACACACACACACACACACACACCAATCAGCCAAAACATTAAAACCAGTAGTGGATGAAGTGAGTAACATTGATCATTTTGTTACAATGTAATGTTCTGCTGGGAGACCACTGGTCATGGCATTCATGTGGGTGCCACTTGAAGCCCTCCCCCACCCACCCAAACACCGCTGTGGGCTAAGTAACCCCCCTCACGGCAACGGTACTCCCTGATGGCAGTGGGCCTTCCAGCAGAAAAATGTGCCATGCTACACCACAAAAGCTGCTCAGGAATGGCCTGAGGAACATGACCAAAAGCTCAAGGTATCGACCTGTCCTCCAAATCTCCCACACCCCAATCTGATTGAGCATCCTGGGAACTGTGGTACCTCACCTCACAACTGACAGGTCTCAAATGATCCGAAGCCAGCATCCCAGTGCCAGACACCACAGGACGCCTTCCAGAGGTCATGTGTCCATGCCTTGACATGTCAGAGACAAGTCCGATCCAGGGAGGGCCTACCGTGAATTAGGGGTACCTCTGAGGCTCGATCACTCTGGTTTTAGATCCCGACATAGCACAGAGTCAGCACTGTTAAAGGTGCACAATGATATTGCCTTGTCTGTGGATGCTGGGAATCCCACTGTGCTGGTGCTGCTGGACCTCACAGCGGCCTTTGATACAGTTGACCATGCAGTCCTTGTATCTCTCCTAGAGCAGTATGTAGGCATCCGCGGCACCGCTCTTCAATGGTTTAGATCGTATCTGGCCAATAGGAGCTTCTCTGTGATGATTGGTGACCTCCACTCATCACATGCATTTCTTCCTTGTGGGGTGCCACAGGGATCTATTCTTGGCCCTATCCTCTTTTCATTGTATTTGCTACCTCTGGGATCAATAATAACAAATAAAAAAAATCTGTCTTTCCATCTTCATGCAGATGATTTACAGATTTATTTGCCGATGAAACCCAATGAAAGTACTGCATTTAATAAGTTACTGGATTGTGTTAGTGACATAAAGCAGTGGCTGGCACGAAACTTTCTGCACCTGAATGACAGCAAAACTGAATGTATTTTGTTTGGCACTTCACCTATGTTGAATGTTATTGCAACAACCTTGTAGCACTCTGGCCCCCTTTTTTTAAACCACATGTAAAAAATCTTGGTGTAACATTTGACAATGGTTTGAAGTTCGATAAACAGATTAGTTCCGTTGTTAGAACAAGCTTTTTTCAGCTCCGTCTCTTGGCCAAAGTGAAGCCTTTTCTCAGTTGGCAGGACCTTGAGAAGGCAATTCATGCATTCATCAGCTCACGATTGGATTACTGTAATGCCCTTTATGTCAGCCTCAGCCAATCTTCCCTTTCACGTCTTCAACTTGTACAGAATGCTGCGGCCCGATTTTTAACAAACACGCCCAGACGTGAACACGTCACCCCTGTGCTGCTGTCACTTCACTGGCTTCCAGTTCGTTTTAGGATAGATTTTAAACTTTTGTTGTCTGTTTTTAATGCCATTAATGGCCTTGCTCCTCTCTACTTGTCAGAGATTTTAACTATCCACGATAGTGGCAGGGCCCTGCGCTCGTCTGGTCAGCTTCTGTTAGAAGTCCCAAGGTCGAGATATAAACAATGGGGTGACCGTTCGTCTACTGTTGCTGCTCCAAGATTGTGGACATTCGCACCATTACTGATCTCGGCCTTTTTAAATCGAATGAAAGACCTACCTTTTTAGAATTGCTTTTAATTCTGTGTTTGGTACTTCATGTACTTTCATTGTTATTTGACACTGTTGTCAAGCACTTTGGGTACCTTTGGTTTTTTTTTAAAGGGCTATAGAAATAAATGTTGATTGACTGATTAATTGATCAGATTTAGATCTGGGGAATTTGGAGGCCGGGTCGATGCCTTTACCTTTTTGTTGCGTTACTTATTTACCATATGTTTTGGAGTCAATTGAAGAGTGCTTAAAGGGAAATTTCGGTTTATTTCAACCAGTCTCTTCAAGTGACTAGTGACATACAGATAATAGTTAGCATGTTAGCCATTAGCCTAGATACAGCCAAAGCGTCAGACCTGTTAAAACGTAAGAGAACGGGCATCCCTTCAAGTGTAAAGTTAGTCCACTAAACAAGCTTTTTTTTCCACAAAGACCGCCTCATATCGTTAGGATAAATGTCAGAGAACATATAGAAAACGACATGTAAACGTGTTGTCTTACCTTACCGGTGTGCTGCCATGTTTGTTTACAATGTAGCTCTGCTTTCCAAAGCGCGGCTGAAATATCACGAGAACAAGCAGCGATCTCATAGCGTGCCTGAACAAGCAGCAACAGCTGGAAGGCAGAACCGGATGGTCGCCTGAACAGAGGAGGAGGAGGAGGAGAGAGCGAGGCGCAACAGGTAACGTTAGAGGATGAGAGAGGAGGAATGGCTGCTGTAAGGCTGCATAGCTCTGGAGATTGGTGGTGTACCTGTGAATGCTGT